ACTTTGAATATATCATGCCACTCTCTTCTGGCCTGAAAAGCTTCTGCTGACAAAAATATGTCATAGCCTTACGGGGTTCCCAATGTATGTAACTGTCTGCCCTTCTCTTGCTGGTTTTAAATTTTTTATCATTAGGTTTTTTTTCTTTTGCATTTTAATTACTAAGTGTCTTGTTCTGGACCTTCTTGGTTTGATTTGGGGGGGGGATATTTGTGCCTCCTGAATTTCCCATATTAGGAAAATTTTCACCTATTATTTCTTCAAACCTTCTACCTCTTCTTCTGGGATCTCTATAACGCCAATGTTATTATGTTTGGTAGAGTCACTGGGTTCCCTTAGTCCTTTCTCATTTCGTGTAATTTTTCTCTCATTTTTTTCAGCTTGATTACTTTCTATTACTCTGTCTTCCAGGTCATTAATTCATCCTTTGCTTCATCTCACCTGCTATTTATTCCATCAAGTGTAATTTTAATTTAATTTATTTTGTCCTTAATTTGTGATTGATTTCTTTTATCTCCTTATTATGGGTCTCATTGATGTCTTACAGTATTTTCTCAAGCCCAGTGGAATCTTTATGGTAACTGCTTCAAATTTTCTAACATGCATATTATTTATATCTGTTTCACTTAGGTCTCTTGCTGTGGTTTTGTCCTGTTGTTTCACTTGGGTGATATTCTTCTGTTCCTCATTTTGTCTAAATCTCTTTTTCTGCTTCTCTATGTTAAGAAGGTCAGCTACATCCCTTCACATTGAAGATAATGGTTTTATTTAAAAAGAAAAAAAGAGGTAATATAGTGCCCTGCAGTGCAGCGTCCCCTGTTCCCCAGGATGTGGTGCCTTAGGAAATGTCTCCTATGTATGCTGCATGTCTTCTCCTGTTAAGTTCTAGTCATTTTTCCTTCAGTCCACTTGTCTGTAGAACCTCTCTTTGCCTATTGCGGGCAGTGTTTTGTCCTCGCCTGGGTGGAGCACATTTTAACAATGTGTGTATCAGTCTGTTAGCAAAATGAGACCTGCTACTGCCACTGTTGACAGAACTGAGTTCACAAAATTCATGGATAACGAGAGAAGTTGGGGCTTTGCACATGTTTCCTGGGGAGGGGAACCTACAGAACTTAGATTGAGGCAGAAGTAATGGGAAGGGAAGATCTACTGAAGGATGGAGGAACAGAGATTGGTGTAAGCAAGTTAGGTAGAAAATGTTGGTACTGAATTTGTTCTTTTAGGGTTTATGCTGAGGTGTAGAGGAAGGAAATGTCATCTACCAGCTCCTTTGTTCCTGGAGCCATCATCCCATGATCCTGTCTTCCTGGGCCACATTTTGAGATGAATAAATTACTCTCCTTCTTATCTGCCCCAACATTTTTCAAACTCTGCTTCCAGGCTCTATCTTTGTTTGTTGTGCTCTCTCTTTAAGTGTGGGAATTCTCCTTCCCAATGCCCTCCAGGCTCTCCCAGAACTAACCCTGATGAGTTTTAAAGTCCTAGGCTTTAAGTCCTGCTGGTTGTAAGAACTCATGAAATTTGGCCCCTTTCACCTTCTTGCTTTGAAAGCCAAATGTTTGGGGGATTTGTCTTCCCCATTCAGCATACCCAGTGTGATAGTGTGTTTCTTAACATTCTCTGTGCCACCAGCTCCCTCCTGAGCATGGATTGCCATAGTCCATTTCACTCCCAAAACACATCTTCACCCTTTCTAACTTCTTGAATGTGGCCTTTTCTCTACCTTTTGTGGAATTTTTTTGCCAATCTTTGGGTCATTTTCTGGGTTATTTACACTGATGTGAGTATTTCTTAATTGCATCCATAGGATGAGGTGAGCTTGTGGTCCCCCTACTCTGGTATCTTCTGTTATTCTCTCTCCATAGATGAGAAACTGTTGAAAAATGTTTATCTAAAGCAATTAATATTCACTAATTGTAATACAAAAGGAATTGAAATCACAGTTCACTCTTTTCTTAAATTTTTATTTTATTTATTTTTTTCATACACTACATCTTTTTTCCCCTAGCCACTACATCTTTATCCACTCATCTATCAGTAGTTCACTCTTTTTTTTTTTTTAATGTTTTATTTATTTCTAGGAGAGAGAGAGAGAGACAGCATGAACAGGGGAGGGTCAGAGAGAGAGGGAGTCACAGACTCTGAAACAGGCTCCAGGCTCCAAGCTGGCAGTCAGCACAGAGCCTGACGCGGGGCTCGAACCCACGAACCGCGAGATCATGACCTAAGCGAAAGTCGGACGCTTAACCGACTAAGCCACCCAGGTGCCCCTGTAGTTCACTCTTTAAAAAAAAAAAAAAAACTTTTTTGTTCCACTATTGTTCCAAAAAGGATTGAAAATAATTCAAAATGCTGCATACTAAAACAATATATAAATAAGTATGAGGTGGGGCACCTGGGTGGCTCAGTCAGTTAAGCGTCCAACTTCGGCTCAAGTCATGATCTCACAGCTTGTGGGTTCAAGCACCGCGTCGGGCTCTGTGCTGACAGCTAGCTCAGAGCCTGGAGCCTGCTTCAGATTCTGTATCTCCCTCTCTTTCTGGCCCTCCCCTGCTCACACTGTGTCTCTATCTCTCAGAAATAAATAAAACATTAAAAAATTTAAAAAAAATAAGTATGAGGTGATGCAAAATAATGAAGAAAAAACTGGGAAAAGACATAAAAATAAGGCCATGAAAGAAGATAATTAAAAAAAACAACAACAACATGAAAAGATCTCCAAACTTGCTACCAGTACACTATAGATTAGTTCCAGGTTTTTCAGCAGACTATATAAAAAGAGACGTGTGTGACCCAATTATGAATATCCAAGAAAATAAAATCAAACCAATTACTTAGGAAATATTTAGTTCTTCCTAATACTAAACATTAACAATATGCTGTGTTTGTAAGGAGAACACAATAACAATAACAATAGTTATCACACCTAACCTGTTCATACTATTAAAGAACAACCAAAAACCTTTAATGTACCACCTCATAAATTTATCCTAGTCTAGGGAAGATATGATCCTTCTGCTAAAGTAAACTTAGAAGGGATACATACAGAGACGAGAGGAGATAAGAACTATGGGCAAAATAGGACATCTGTACTATTTTTTTTAGACTCTTATCACTGAATATTACTTTGTTTGAAGTGATACTGATTCTTACACAATAAGTCATATTAAATAACCAAAAAACTCTCTTCTAAAAGTTAATTGAAGTTATCAGCTTTTTGGTTAATTCATAGATTTACTTTTTTTAATTTAAGATTTAAAATCAAAATTTTACCCTGAGTTGAAATTGTTTTTACCTGAACTGAGTCACTGACTTTTGAGCAACTTTTTCTTCCCTTTTTAAGGCCAATTAAAAAAGAGAACACTTGCATGCCAAAGAAAATGAGGTAAGCTGCAAGCATTCTTAGCAATGTTAAGTTTTGTTTTTGTTTTTGTTTCTTTTCTGTGAAAAGAACGTGGGAGATAGGGAAAATAGCTAATTATCAGGAAAGGATTATTTTTCTCCCTCTGTCTCAGGGTTTAGCTTTAAAGCTCATCATATCTGGAATATTTTGTCCAGAAAAATACTAATACCCTAGGAAAATTTGCTCACACTGCCCAAACTCAATTTTTTTTTTAAAACCAGAAATCCAATTGAACAATTTATAGTGAGGAACAGAACTGCCAAATGGACCATAATGTGTATTGACTGTCAGTGTATTCTCCTTTTAGTATGATGTCAAGTCAGAAAACTAAATTAACAACAGATTCAAGCTGGATAAATATATGGAGTCAGAATTAAGAAGGGGATTGGAAGACCAAACATGTTTCACTTGATATACCTCAGCCAGGATGGGGATCCTTTCCCTTTGTCAGTCCTCACAAGTCATGGTCTTTTATAAATCAGTTCAATTTCATAGTTTCTAGTGATAAAAGTATGCCTTTCCCAACTCTTGATCCCGTTAAAATTTGTATTAAAGATCTCTGAGTATTAGACATGGCTTCATCTAGTTTTTGAATGGTTCTGGTTTTATAAGGAGAGCTTGTTGTAGATCTAGGTTGCCCTCCCACAAAAATGTTGTCATCTACTTTCTTCTTATTAGTTTTAGCCATAAAGGAAAATGCTACTGTTCGACCTAACCCACTATACTTACTTTTTTCCACTTTGCAATGGTTATTACCCAGAAGGCTCTCTGCAGCTCTTGGCCCTGGTTTCTGAATGTGGTTCCCTTACATGCCCACAGAAGTTTGTACACTTTGTAAGCCTTGTATTTTCAGACCTGCTCTCAGACTTGGTTGACACTATAATCCCCAAGTATATATTTTTCTTTTTTTTCATATTCATAAGGTCCCATAAACTTTATACATAAAGACCAAAATCTTAGCACACTAGAAGGAAACTACAATCAACATTTTTAAAATTTATTTAGTCATGTGTTATTTGAAGATTTAGGTTTCTTTTCATTCATTTCCTCACTTATTCATTCAACAAACATAAAAGTGCTTTGTTCTAGACTACTTGGGAATACAGAGATGAGCCAGACATAAAATCTCTGCCTTCAGTCAGCTTGCAGTATACAGAAAGGATAAATCATGAACAAATAACTAACTATACATTAAGTTATTGAAGAGCACTCCATGTGGAGTGAATCTTTTAAGCAAAAGTAGTTCTACTGCTGTTCTTGAGGTTTTTTCACCTTATGTTCTCAGGCTTGAAGGGGTTGCAGCTTTCTTGTTCTAAAGTAAACTCTCTTCAGATTTTGCCTCAGAATCCTATCTTTCCATGGAGATTTTAATGAGACATATAGACATGTGAGTTGTGGTGGAGGGAGATAGGATGAGGAACAGTAAGGAAGGCTGTATGCAGTTATTGTTTGATTTTGCACAGACTTTGGCTCCATATTCTTTGAATTTCTCTCTTCAAATGAAATAAAAATGAAATAAAACTTAAGTACCGTCATCTGCTCAAGGGACTTACCTTTAGTCTGTGCAAATAAGGTTTCTGTGGTGAGACACCAAATGAACTCAACTTCCTCTTTCAACAACAAATTTTTCAGTTATCAGCAGGATCTGTGTCACCCAGAGTTAGGCTTTTTCACTCCCAGCTCCCTGCAAAGAAACAGGAGTGTTAATTCCGACAAGCCTCCAGGGTAAGTTACAGCCTAGTATCTTGGAATTGGTTGTTCCATGTGGGAAGTTTGGTGGGGGCATTAAGATCAAAGATAGAGACAGATGTGGGACCAGTGTCCAACGTGAAAATGGCCACTGTTTCTCATTTCAAATTTCTTACAGCAGGATCAATAGTGCTTGCCCTTGAGCGTGACTAGAATACAAAGTCAGGGGTAATGCTATCTGTACTCTACCATTATTCAAGGAGAATGGAGTATGTGATGCATCTCATTCTTTGCTGAGGGCTGTGTGTTTCTCCATCAACCAGGGAAGAGAACACAAAGTGTTGAGAAAACTGTGTTCAGTGAGAGTCATTGAGACAACTTGGCATTTTAAACTAAAAAAAAAGAGTATTTGAATATTTGTTCTGTATAATTTATCTAATTTCATAATGAAAGAAAAGTTTAGTGTATAAGCTCCTGGCTTTGGTAAGTTTAGTTTGCACGTATACAGAAATAGCAAGTTCTTTAATGAAGGAAAGAAAGTCAGATCATAGACTTTGAGTTGAAAGAGATTTTAATGATTCAAATCTTTCACAATAAAGATGGGGAAACTGCGAGCCAGTGAAATAAAGACATTTGATTTCAGATAAATGTAAAAGTAAAGACAAATGATTTCATAGTGTGTTCATGGATGTTTCTTAATCCCTTAAAAGTTGCTTTGTTGAGTTTAGCCCTTCTGGATAGAGTAATCCAAAGGAGGTGCACCTATCCTTTAAGTGATTATTGTTCTTATTACTCTCAGTACTAGCAACTTCTCTGGTTCTGAGCCAAGATGACTGAGTCAAAAAGAAACTTCTATTGGGGAGTCCTTAAAGGTGGATTGTGCCATACTATTTGGTAGCAGGATCATTCTGAATAGAATAATAAGATTTGTTGTGCTTTTGGTGTGGGAGTAGTTTGAGTCCCTAAGTCCTGTCAGTGGGAACATTTTTATTTTGATTGTTTAAAGGATAGAGGGTGTTACTGCCATTATTACTAATTGACTGGTTTATCATTTAACAATTGTGATACAGTAAAATTATGCGCTGCTGAAATAGGTGATATGCTGGTAAACTGAGGTGGGAGAAGGCCTGAACCAAGAATCAGGTAATACATTCAAGGTAATCGTCTTTGCAATGATTCTTGTTGAGCACAGGTCCTTCTTTGGTTAAAAGCAGTTCCTATTGGAGCTCAACTGGAAAAGTTGTTAAATCTTGTTGTACAGACTGCTCAAACCCTGGCAGTGGTGGAGCATAAATACTGAAAAATGAGTGATCATACTTCTGGGTGATTTGGGATGGCTCTTCATGGCTAGTTTTGTTTGGGGTAACTCAACTGATATCTTAATAGGCAAGGCAGTCTATACCCTTCAGTCACAGCTCAAGAAAAGAGGACAGAGGTGTCTGTTGGAAAAACACTCTAAGAGGTCCTGTCTGCCAGGACAATGACTGGCAGAGAGTCTGTGCTTTATTTAAATCTTTTAGTCAAGAAGTATACTTACATCCAGGTCAAATTATTTTGCAGGAAGTTTTTATTTAGTATTTGTTTGCATGCATTACAGGCAGAGTAATGAAGTAGGTGAATCAATAAACACATAATCAAAAAAGTCTTGGTCCTGACTCAAGTTCCGCCAATGACTCACTGTGTGGTCTTGGGCAAATTGTGTCATCTGTAGGCCTCAATATTCTCACTTATAATAAAGGGGAGAGCTTAGAACAGATGGCCTTTACTTTCCTTCATAACAATGCAATGATTTGACTCTAGGCTCCTAGGTTCTTGAGAATAGTGATATATCATTAAGCGGTAAATAATAGGGCCAAAACATGAAAATTTAACTAGAGGAGACCTTCTGAAAATATAATCTATATAATAAATGTAACCCTGTAAACTCTGTCAAGGGCCATTATATTTCATTCAGAATAATGTTATCATGATAATTTCAACTTTTAGATCACAGGCAAATTTTTTTGTAATTAATTTCTTTTTTAATGAAAAACACAAACAACAAACAAGGGAAATAGTTCTGAAATATGACTTCCACAATGATATTGTCACCCAATCAGTATTATTCCAGCTTTTAAAACCAAAATGCCCTTTGAGACACATAAAAATGTCACTACAAGGTTATTATGGACTTCTGTCCCTAGGAACAGACCCTGGACTCCTAGGAAAAACTTACCCCATTACATTCACATTTTCTAAGTACTACATGCTCAACAGCTACGAAAATTGTGTAGATCTGTATTTTCAACAGTTTGTATTATAAGAACAATGGTTTTTATTTCCAAATATATTTACTATAGTAAATAATATTATTTTTTCTAATAACAATGCTTTCCAGCCTTCTACTTTAAGAATTTTTACTTTTTAGCTCTGCTAGCCATCTCTCACAACTATATACTCTAGGAGGTTTTCTAAACCAACAGAAGTACAGGATATAACCAAAAACCCATGGAGATTACTTTCTATACAAGTAAAGGGGAAATGAACTAACATTTATTTAATGTCTACTGTGTACCAGACATGAAAATAGGTCACTTCATGTAAATTTTCCATTTAATCTTCACAACAATCTATGTTGCAGAGACTATGATCTTACTTTTATAAATGAGGAAATTGAAGCCCACAGATATGAATTAAGTCATTTCAGGCTAGTCAGCTGATAACTGAGTTAAGATATGATTTCAGTTCTGCCCAAAGAACGCTATTCCTACTACCTCCAAAATACTGCTCCAACTGCAGATAACTGAGTTAAGATATGATTTCAGTTCTGCCCAAAGAACGCTATTCCTACTACCTCCAAAATACTGCTCCAACTGCAAAAAAAAAAAAGTATCTAGTTAGGTATCTTTCCCAAATAATTAAAAATATAATAAATATGCTTGCATGACCGTTAAATTTAAACATTAAAGATTTTGTTTGTGAATAGTCTAGTTACTTCAATTAATTTCAGAGAAAAATAATTTTCATTTCTTCCAATGTATCCTGTATACTTACAGGATATATACAAACCTTAGTGTTTCTGATGTCAAGTGGGTGATCTAGAGTTGATTCTAATCAATTCAGAAAATAACAGAGTTCCAAATTCCAGTTATTCTTCTTCATCTGTGATTGCGGTGATTGAACAAAGGACACGACAGTAATGTGGGTCAGACTGGTGAGTGATTGAACAAAGGACACCATGGTCATGTGGGTCAGACTGTCTTATGTGTGAGACTTTCAAGGTTTAAAGAAGGTAAACGTACAGTAAGACAAAGCTAGTTAGGTTTCCAAGTAGCTTGTAAATGTTTTCCCCTATTCAGAAACCTTTCCCTATTTAATCCTCCCTTCTCCTCCAAAGATGACAACCTCGCATACTGGCCATATTTTCAAAGAAAATAAGAAAAACAAATTTGATAAATATCTTCATTTAACAGTATTAGTGACTTAGTGATGAGGGATGAAAAGAGGAGGAAGTCTGATACAGTCAAGATTTGTAGAGTTGTACAGGAAGAGCAGTCACCTTGGTACTGGAAGCCTTGGTTTCATTCTTCTCACTCTGCTACATGCTAACTTTATGTATTCAGGTAAATAAGATCATTTCTGATATATAGGTATTAGGTCATGACAGCTCAGAGCCTGGAGCATGCTTCGAATTATGTGACTCCCTCTTTCTCTGTCCCTCCCCTGCTCACACTGTCTCTCAGAAGTAAATAAATGTTAAAAAAATTAATAAAAAGAAAACATTTGTTTAAATTATTTTTACATTTATTTATTTTTGAGAGACAGAGACAGAGTGTGGGTGGAGGAGGGACAGAGAGAGAAGGAGACACACAATCCGAAGCAGGTTCCAGGCTCTGAGCAAGCTATCAGCACAGAGTCTTACCCGGGGCTCAAACCCACAAACCGTGAGATCATGACCTGAGCCGAAGTGAGATCTGAGCCGAAGTCAGATGCTAACTAACTGAGCCTCCAAGCCCCTCTAAAAATAAAAAAAAAGAACATTTGAATAGTTACTAGAATCCAAATGTCTTAGCTCCAAATCCAGTACTCTTTTTTCAATATATCCCACTGCTTTTAAGTCTTTTCCAACCTACAACAAATATAATCACAATCAAATCACTACTGTTATAAACAAATTGTTCTAGTACTCTATTCACAGGTCTATTATGGTTTGGGTTCATAGGAAAAACTTCATAAATGTCCCTGGTTTTGATGCAGTCCTACCCTTACACTTGGTGGGCTGGCATTTGCCATATATGCATAGATACAAAAAAAAAAAAAGCACTAGAACTAGAATTGAGAATAATAGCCTTATATATTTGATGAACAATTTTATTCATAGAAATTCCACTTGAAAATATTTTTGGTTTGTGAAAAAAGTTGTATAATAATTTTAGCTTTCTTTGCTTATAAATAACTTTTTACAACTGAAATCATAATATCTGTGACTTAAATAAACTTAATCATGTTGAGCCACCATTTTCTGATCTGTAAAAAAGATATAATTACAATTAACTCAGAACTCTTACAAGGATTAAAGGTAACATACAAATAGCACTTGGATAGTGACTGACAGGGTGTATGTGAAGACTTCTTGGATTTAGCATTTCACTAAAACTTAGAAGTCTGGTACAAATTCTGATGACATAATACTATAAGTTACATTGGCTGTACCATTGTGAAACCACAGCATTGAGATGGTTGGGAATCAAAACTACCTTTGGTTAGATGTTATTGGTACCTCTTAAATATTTGGACTTAGCTCCATTGAATTATATATATTTAAAGATGCGACATACCATTATGTTCTGAGACAACAGAACATTTCTTTTTCTTCTCTTAAAGAGAATGTTTAATGACCATATTCTTACTTAAGCTTTTGGGATACCTGTTGGCTTTTAAGTAAAAATCTACAATTGCATGCTTTGGAGTTCTTAGATATTCATATTTATTAGACTCCAACCTTATTTTCCTTGCCTTGACGATATACTCAGTATTAGAGGAGACTCTGACTGTGC